TGCCGCTGTTTATAAAGACAAACTGCCAAATATGATCCGTGAATATGAGTTGGTCTCCAACAAATGCGGAGTCATTGATCTCACTTGGCGTGGCAAAATTGAAGTACGTTTTAACTTTTTTAATTTATATAGCCATAGCCTATGGGTGCTATTGTACGAGGGCTCGGCTCCCTTGTAAAACAGTAAAAACCTTTACAATCGTTCATTTGTTTCAATAGTAAATTGGCATCAGCGTTTGCCAGGGAATTAAATTCACAGCTGTCATGCTTTTATTTATCTCTCGGAAGAGTAAACCACCGAAATTTATACTGGGAAGGGGCTACTGTTAGCATGTGCTACAACTGAGACTTCTTCCCTACCTCTTTTAAAAAGTAATTACGGGGAAGTTTGGACTTTGGTTTCTGCGATTCATCTCCCCCTTCTCCCTCCTGCCCCGTACTCCCGTCCCCCTCCTCCCATCTTTCGGACCCCAGTATCTTTACTGGATGAGTTTCACCTACTAAATTAGTTTTTGTAATGATAGAGCCGCGTGTAATTCCACCCAGCAGCTAGTAAGAGCAAGAAAACATTTTCAGGTACGTGGCAAAGATGCCGAGAAATTTTTGGATTATATTTTGACGAATAAATCTCCTCCACCTGGTGGAGTTTCATCTGCACTTATGTTAACGAGAAAAGGGAATATTTTTTCGCCAGTGGAGCTGTTCCATCATGACCAGTTCAGGTGCAGAAAATTTTGCTTTCACCTCTGAGTTGGCCTTTATTAATAAGTAATATCACTACTTAAAATTAGCTGTGATCGAAAGCAGAGTGCTGTATCGAATAATAATGAAACTAAATTGCTATAAACAGACAATTTTTTTATGAATTATTATAATTCATACGGATACGGTTACTGACGAAAACAGAAGAGCGAACCCTGGCTGTGACGAAGATCGCAGTGGAAGGAAGGCTGCTTGATCTGCCTCCTCATGACAGTGTAAGCAGTTAAAGTCCCCGCCATATAAAGGGCAAAAATGAATTTAATGTGACTATGCAAAAGCAGAAATGGGTGAAGTTTATATGTTCATCGTGCTAATAACCAGTTGGCTTTGCGTTCACTGGATGGTACCCATGCAAAAGTAAACGACCACTTGGAGGAACTTCCAGGGAGGTGGCTTGCATATTTCCGGACAGTGGGTACTAACTAAAGGTGTATAGTGAAGAGCCGAAGGGCCTAGCCGATCGGCGTGCTAGCGTTGAGATCACCGCACTGATTGTCTTGGCAGTGATGGTATTGTTCTTATTGTAATTTTTCATTAGCAGAATTCCAATTATGGCGGCTAAGACTGGTTCCCCTTTACAGTGAACATAAGAAGTTAGAATGTCAGTTTTATATTTCTGCTGTCACATTAATAGAATTATAAATTTTCTTTGAAAATTATGCCTTTGACTTCTTGAAATTCTTACTCTTAAGATCGGAATATCTACTGATATCGGATCCGGAACGAGAATCGCGTGATATAAACTGGATGAAAAGGGCGGCTTCTGAATTGCAAGCAAATGTGGAAATATCCGGCGTAAGCGAATATCTGGCTTCACTTGCAATCGTCGGTCCAAAAAGTCGTGCAGTAAGCTTTTTTCTTTATTAAAATACTGAAAAGTGTATAATTTTCAATTTTTCTTTTCCCTCCAGCCCTTGTTGTAACTTTTTTTGAATTTGAAAGAACCAGTACATTAGTTGAAAGTAAAGGGGGATAGTTTTGTGGTGGAGGAAAAACGAAACTAAAAAAGAGGAAGGAGGCTCTACACAAAAAACCGGTGTGTATCAGGCAACTGACACAAGCATATGCAATATTTCATTCATGGATTTCGAATGCTGTTACATCCCTGTCGCTGATTTGTTTGTTTCTTGCTGGAGGCATTTTTGTTAGCTGTTTTGGAAAAAAGTTGTTTTACGTTAGATAATTTGGCATTTTGGGCTGTTGGTATAATTCATCATGTAAATTCCGTATAGTTTCATTTGATATTGTGCATCCAAATATTTTCTGCTGAGCTGCGATGGAAATACAAGTCCGTAAGCTGTGAAGTGATCATAACGTGTATTTAAGCCTCCTTTGTTATCAAATCACTTTCTATTTTTACCTAACTGGAAATTTTAGGTATTAGAAGAACTCACGAAATCGGATTTGGGATTCGATCAAAGTGCTGCAAAATTGATGAGGCTCGATGCTGTACCAGTTCTTGCTGTTCGTACCACCTCTTCCACC